TAACGGGGCATTGCAGGAAAATGTAAAAAATAGTATTTGACAAAATATTGTGCATCAGTTTATAAAATGTACATTGTATGAGTGATGAGGGGCAGCATTGTAATGAAAAGCTTGACAATTTTGGCCCTGGAATATAGTTTTTGATTTTGTTGTTACATAAGAGGGTTTTCATGACATGCAGTGAAATCACAGGGTTATATCAATGCCCTTCTAATTCCCAATTTGCGACATAGAGTAGAGAACGCCGATGTGTTTTGAACAGCTATCGTGTTTCTGTGGAGATCCAGAATATAATCTAGCTCTGAGCAGATGTTTTACTTTTCTCGGAATCTCACAGCCCTTAGTCCAAATATTTTTACTTTACGTTAGCGGCGTCCTACCGGTTTCTCGTAATATGATGGACCAGGACTTCCCTCTCCAAATCTCAACAACCCATTTCACATCAAGTCTCTCTTAATCACACCAAGGCACAGCTGGCAGCCATTATACTTAAAGTATGTGGCGTCTACACTCAGGGGCGGATCCAGCCGGCGAAAAGAGTGGGGGGGGGGGGCAAATCTTGAACAAACAATTTAGCGCCGACTAAGCCGGCCGGTGAAAAATGCAAAAAACTGGGGCTGGGTGTAGAAGCACATTTTTTTTTGGTACAGTTTTAGAGGAAAAATTTAGCGCCGACTCGGCCGGCTGTTAATAAGCAGCGGGGGGGGGGGGGGGGGGGGGGGGGGGGGGGGGGGGGTAAGAGCACATACATATATATTTTTTTAAATATATTTTTTGGGGGCCCAATTCGTGAGAAAATATTTAGCAGCGATTCATCCAGTCGGTGAATACGCAGGGGGGGGGGTAATATTTTGTTTTGGTGTGGGTGCAATTTTTATGTTTTTTGGGGGCGCCGCTTTTGTTTTTGTTTAACTTTTGTTTTAAAAAAGGTTAAATTTACGTTATTATCCTATTTTTTTAAATATTTTTTTAGACTAGGGGGTGGGGGGGGGGGGGGGGGAACCGGGCCAGAAAAATCGACACGTGGATCCGCGTTTGTCTACACTGACTTAATAACACAAACGAACAGTTCAAAGACATGAAATTGCAAAATAATAAATCTCATCCAGTTTGAAGTACATCTAGTACAATACTGATAAAATCGTTTATTAAAGATATAATTCTTCTGTCAATATTGTTAGAAGAAACACATTCTTGGTAATAATATAACGTCGGGTATTTAGGGTAGCTGAACAACAACAAATGTAAAAACACATAGATGTTTATACAGGCAAAAAAAGTACAAATTGCATTCAGAGAAAGGATCCATCACCAAAGAAAAAAAACGAATTATAATAGGACCTACAAATGTACTCGTTATTACACATCACATGATTGCAATTAATATAAAGATGTCCATACAAGTTGATACTATGAAAGAGAGAAAAGACTAATGCACATGCCTCTCAAAAAAGACATACAAAAGACATAACCTCGCACTCATCAGAGCGAAACTGGAGAACATAGAGCCAAAATAACTATACTACTTTAACCCTAATAAGGCCGGGCTATTTGAGGTCTTAGTACGGCCGGGGGGGGGGGCATTATGGCCCCCCTTAAGATCTCGGCCGATCGCCGCAAAAATTTGCACGCCTGTCAAGTGAAGTATATAAAATAATATGATAATTTCAATTTTTTTTGGAAAAATTCACTCATTTGCATATTTATGGTAATTTATGCAAATAAAGTTAAACAAATCACATTTTTACCCATAAATCATATTATATTCATATTAAGGCATTCTTTTTCACTGCATATATTCATTAGACCATTCTGAATAATAATACGACAAAAAAAATCGGAAGAGCCATCTTATTCCTTATGTTATCCCTTGTTTTGATAATTTCTTATGTATTTCATTGTTTTTGTTGTTCTATTTCATTTCTTACTACAATTCAACTATTTTGACTCCAAAAACAACCACCTTAACGTTAAACAAGACCCAATAACCCATGTTTGATCTGTTTTTAGGAAAAATGACTTTTCCATATGTTTTGTACACAAATCACGAAAATGAGCGATTTTCGGGCTGACATGCAAAGACAAAAGGTCACGTGACCTTGTAACCGTAGGTCCGATTTTCAAAAAAATTATTTTAAAAGTTGCGCAAGACTTGAAAGAAAAAAGTCCGCGAGCGGCGGGGCGCCATCCATATGCGTTCACGAGCAATTGGAAAAATCGTGGAGGGGGGGGGGCATAATGCCCCCCTACCTTATTAGGGTTAAGATCCTTTCCTATCCAATCCAACAAGTCTGAAAATTTGAGACAAAAGGCATCATTTTGTAATTGCTGAACTAACCCGATAACACATTCCTCTATCGATTGATTTGCTTGAGAGGAATACCTATAGGGGGGGGGGGGGGGGTATCTGAAATGATATGTGACATTCCATCAAGGAGTGAAAAGAAAAGTAAAGGAATGCAACATGACCCCTCCCACATATGCTCCAACTTGAGATTCCATTTATCTGTCTAAACAATTAATTCAATTAATAAGAGCAGCAGCCCCCCCCCCCCCCCCATGACATCAGTGCCCTCTCAGTAACTCAACCCATGCTAAACTATTAACACTACCGATTAATTATCAAAAACCAAGATCATGACAAGATAGCAGTTGAAAAGTCTTAAACTGCCTATAACAGGAATATCAATTATTTAAGTTAAACTTACACTGTACATGCACTATGTATTTTCTGAGAAGACTGTAGGTACTTGTTAACCTTTTCCCTCATAAAAGATAGAGAGATTATATAAAACTTGCACACCAGAGAATTCGAAAATTTACCAGCAATTACCCTTAGCTTAATTACCTAATGTGATGGGTGTATTTTTGCTACCAAAGAATACATGCCAAAATAAAATCAATATGATTTTAAAGAATTATATACATTTGAATGTGGGCAATTCAACTAAAATTGACCATGAGCCGAACTCATGAAAATTGGCAATGACTTCAAAAAATTATATTTCCTATAATGACAAATTTAGTACCAAACACAGGAAAAAAGGTATACAAATAGGAAAAAATCACACCGTTCTTTTCTTTGAGTAGAATAATAATATTGAAAATTGTTTACGCATGACTTTTCATAGGATTAACATCTAGCAAGAACTTTAGTACCCCAAAAATGCTCCAAATAGAAATTGTATAGCAATTGTAAATAGTATAACCTTATATTTAAACAATTATGTTCAGAGTATAAGCTTTTGTTGATACCTAAATAAGACTTATTACTTATTGAGCTCTAAAACTCATACAGTATTGAATTAAACCGACAATGGGTAATGAAAGAAATGAAATCCCATCGCAAACACAAATAAAAGCAGTCACAAAAAGTCAACACCACCCTCTCAGAAAATACATGCCTATAATTGTGATTTTAAAATTCTGTAATAACCGATACATTGGTTAATTGGTGTGAAAAACCTAAATACAAGCTAAACATAATGAATAAAAAGATTGATTAAAGGTAGAGACCAGTAATGGTCATGCGATTGCATTGTGAAAGAAACGTTGTGGAATCGATCAGAAAAGGTTGATCATCTAGCATCTAGCATCTGCAAAGTTCTGGAATCATCAAAATGATAAGAAATTTGGCCCATTCTTCGTAAAGTTACTAGCACTATACACAGAAAGATGTATATGGGACTACCCTATATCTCTCACACGACCACGAGATAAACAAATTTACCAAATATAAGAATTAGTAGGCGGTTTCCCGGCAAATTTTTTATCATCATGTACATGTATTAGTCAAAACATATTCTTTCACATGATTGGTAATGAGAGTTTCCATTTCATTTTTTGAAATTGGGGCGTGTCCAATACTGGTCTTTACCTTTAAAAAGATACTTCATTCTGAGATGACTCTTTGTAATTAATCAAAAATAAATAATAATCATAATGCATGTGAGTACTTTAATTCCTGATTTAGAGAGAAGGAGAAAAAGTACATGAGAGGGGAGGATAAAAGAATGAAGAATGGAAAAGAGAAGAATGAAAAACAATAATATGGTAAGCAAAAATAAATAAATACAAACATGACAAAGATAATTAAAATCACAGTTAGTTGTTAAGGAGTCGTACGATAAAGGGAATAATTGAAGTGCGGTGTCTCTCAGTTCTACAATAGGGTATAGTTATGTGTAGAGAGTTTCAGAGTTCATGGCAAGAGGTTTGGCGACGAGTTGGCGGTAGAACATAATTCGATCTCGTGATGACTTAAACAGTTTGAGAGAAAAGGATTCAAGAAGGGCAAGACGGCAAGAAGTTAGACTCTGGAGAGAAATGAGTGGTTTCATACAACTGTTCTTATCCAAGGATAATACAGCAGACACGTTTCTGCACTTTCTTCAGACTGCAAGATAACTGTTCGGGAAATTGATGTGGACCAAACTGGAGAAGCGTATTCTAGCGAAGATCGGATGTATGTCGAGAAGATGCCTGCTAGATCTTCACATGATACTCTGAGATGTCGTAAATGTATAGTCGCTAGCCAGCACTTGATATCATATCAAACACTTGGAAATTCCATTTGAGATCTGACTGTTATATAACTCCCAGAATTGTCGGAGTGGTGCAGTTATGGATGGCCTTGTGGTCCAGGTGCAGCATTTAAAGGGCTGGTTGGATACACTTGAGGAAAACTTACTTGGATTCGGTTTTGAACTGCTCACGTGAGTAAAATTCCTTGTCCATTACTAGCTAGTACTTCTGTACTTGTCATGTCTAGTATAGTTACACAGAGTCCAGTTTCTCTCCAACTATTCAGTTACATACTGTGCAATGCAGTGAATGCTCCTGATGGTAAAATGTATCTAAATCACTGACTGTTCTTGCCCCTTTTAATTCTCCCGCAAGATGTCTGAAATGACCATGGTTATTTCAGAATCGCATGTCTTTTCAACTGGAGTTCACCATTCTTTGGGATGTGCTGTGGTGAATATTGCTCCACTGATACATTTGGTCGAGCCATTTGATGCAGTGTTGAAGTTGTTCCTTTGCTAGTAGCTCTATCAAATAAAAGAAAAAAAGAGAAAAGAAAAAATTCATTAAATTTTGATAAAAAGTGAAGGAATAATGTAATAATAGATGCTGAGCTCGAGCAAAGCTGCAAAGGAGATAAAAAAAAAGGGACACCAATCAGACTACTGTAAGATAATTTTTCATTTCAACACTTCGACACACATTTCCTAACGTGCTTGAGGCTCTATTTTGTTTCCTTTGCAGGACTTTATCTGTTTCAAAGTATTGCAGACTGCTAGCCTTAACTGATATTCACATTACTGATTTTTTTTTAAATAAATAGTGTATAATATAGGCTTAAACACTATCATTTTAATCTTGAATAAATACCCTTTTTACTTTGTACAGATTAATGTGGCACATTTAAACATTAATATGAATATCATAAGTAGGTGTTTCTTCTAAATGATCCAACAGATGCAATACTAATTGGTAAAGATCGAAAATTACATATCTTGAAAACAGTCCAACATGAAGAAAACTGCACGTTCTCGCAAAACAGTTTATGTTATGCCTCAACAATAACGTTTGCTGTAAAAAGTGTGTGACCCTTTAACACTCTATGCTAGTGGGAGGTGGGTCCGCCAAAACATATATCTTGAGATCAAAGTATCATTAGATTAAATTTTCATTCCTGGATTTTGTACAGTTTTGGGTTTCAGAGATTAAAAAATAAAAAATAAAATCCCTCCATTGTGTAAATTCTATAAAACGTTATTTGTATTAAACAATGTGAGAGTTTTTTCTATTGGCATAAAGGGAAATCCTTATGTGACCTTTGACCTACTTACCCCAAAATATAATCAGATTGTCTCCCTAAAGTGATACATACTATTAGCAGGTTTGAAGTTCATACCTCAAATGATTACTAAGATATCGCAATTACAAGGCTTAAAACGCATTCATTAAAAAAAAGTGGCAACAACCAAAGGAAATTGGAAATGCCCTTAAGGCTCCCTGCACCAAAAGTAGGCATGGTGTTAAGACTTGTATGTGACAGAAGTAATTGTGAGGCAAAAGAAGCTGTGAAGGTGGAAGGATAGCGAGGATATCGTACATGTTCAAGAATGTCAAATGCAATCAAATCTATAAACGAAACTTAAAACAGAATTGGGTGTACAGAATCATGCTACTTGTATGACATCAAAGTATGACCCCCCCCCCCCATGCCCCATGCCCCATGTTAAAACAAAATTCACTCAAATGTGAAGATGCAAGGAAATTTATAAAATTGACTTAATCTCTGGGAAAATCACAAATGATGGGAACACTGGATGTAGAATTAGGTGTATAGGTTCATGCTACTTGTATAGCATCAACGTATGACCCCCGCCCATGATGATTATACGACTGAGAGTACGTCAACCATGATCACTGCTGTCAGTGAGACAGCCCCACATTCCCATTGCTGCTTTAATGTACTTACCACAATATGTAATTTCTTTCATAGCAGGTAATTAGCAGGCAAGTGGTTGTGTCTAAGGGTTGTATAACAGCTTCAATTGAGGCGAAGTGTCCCCAGTGCTGTCATCTGCACCAGAATCAGGCACGGTGTTTAATAGAACTTGTGACAGAGGTAATTGTGAGGCAAAAGAAGCTGCGAAGGTGGATTGATAGCGAGGATCTCCTACATCTTCAAGCATGTTTGGTTTCTATTCATAATAGATGCAATATTAACATGAAATAACACTAATTTTATGACAGCTAGCATTCAAATCAATGTGAAGATGCAATCAAATTCATAAACGTAACTTAAAACAGAATAGGGTGTACAGAATCATGCTACTTGTATGACATCAAAGTATGACCCCCCCCCCCTCCCCCTCCCACGCCCCATGCTAAAACAAAATACACTCAAATGTGAAGTTGCAAGGAAATTTATAAAATTGACTTAATCTCTGGGAAAATCACAAATGATTGGAACACTGGATGTAGAATTAGGTATATAGGATCATGCTACTTGTATAGCGTCAACGTATGACCCCCGCCCCTAATGATTATACGACTGAGAGTACGTCAACTGTGGTCACTGCTGTCAGTGAGACAGCCCACATTCCCATTGCTGCTTTAATGTACTTACCACAATATGCAATTTCTTTCATAGCAGGTAATTAGGAGGCAAGTGGTTGTGTCTAAGGGTTGAATAACAGCTTCAATTGAGGCGAAGTGTCCCCAGTGCTGTCAGCTGCACCAGAATCAGGCACGGTGTTTGATAGGACTTGTGACAGAGGTAATTGTGAGGCAAAAGAAGCTGCGAAGGTTGATGGATAGCGAGGATCTTCTACATCTTCAAGCATGTTAGGTTTTCTGTTTGTATTAAAAAAATGCAATATGAAAATAAAATTAAAATATTGCTAAAACGGCATTCGATCACTCCAATTTGAAGATGCAAGCAAATTTATAAAATTGACCAAATGAACCACTGGATGCAAACTTGGGTGTATAGGATCACGCTACTTGTATGGTGCAAAGTATAACCCCCCCCCCCTCCCCCTTATGGCTTATATTCATGACTGAGAGGTCAACCTTGATCACTGCTGCCAGTGTAAGGATTGAATAACAGCTTCAATTGAGGGTTAGGGGGGGGGCTAAGTTTTCAGAGGGGGGGGGGGGGTAATAGTCTATAGAACCCTATAACAACATTCACTCCAATGTCAAGATGCAAGCAAATTTATAACACCACTGGGGAAATCGCAAATGATGGGAACTACGTACTACACCAATGCAGAATTAGGTGCATAGGATCATTACCCCCCCCCCCTCCCTCCCACTATAAATAGCTTTCCCTGAATTGTTCAAGTCAGTGCTTATTGTGTACTACTGTATACGCCCTTTGCTTGTTCGTATTGTTAGATTACAACAGTAATTACCAAAACAATAACATTTTTTTCTTCAAAAATAAAGTTGGGCCAGTGTATGAACCTAAGAAACAATTTTACCCCCAAAAAATTACATTGATAACTCATTTCAATGAAAACATATAACATCTGATTGATTAAAATATGATGAAATTATAACATAAAGAACAATTAATATATTCCATCTAAAAAACATTTAGTGAAAAATCCTGGTAATTATGTGTTTGATTTGATTTGATTTGATTTGATTTATTCATCATCAATAACATCAGTGATTAAACATTTGAATACATCGTGAATGGTACATGTTCATAAATGAATATTATAGATCATATTAAAGAAAAACCTAACAAAGTATTGATATGCTAGACATATGTCTTTTCTCATAGAATATAGAAGGTGATGAAAAGGAGCCAAATAATAGCACATGTGCTAGTCGAGTCTGGCCCCTGTTCTTAGCACACACTTGGCAAAAATAAATATATCATTATCAAAAATAAAACTTGACAGTAGAAGTATACATGTTGAGTAATACCGTAGCACAATTTCTACACTCCAAATATAATTATGAAGAGGATATACCAGGTTAAAAAGTCATAGATACATGTATCTACAGATTATTTATACAAAAAATTGCATTTTTTTGACAAAAAAAAACAACAAAAATGTAATATGGAGATTATTTACAATATATACATGTGTACTTGCATAATTCAATCACTTATTCATCAAGTAATCGTTGAGATGTTTACGAAAAGTGTTTCTAGACCCTTTGTTTTTGATTTCATCGGGAAGTTCATTCCATAATCGGGTTCCTACACAAGTTACTGAAAATTTGCCTTGTGTTGTTTTATACAGTGGTATACGTAGATGGCCCTTTTCTCTTTTTCTTGTATTGTATCTATGCTCAATTTTATCACAATAATCCGTCAAACAGTGAGGTAAATTATTATGTACTAGGTCATACATAAATGTACATAGAGACAACTCATAGAACTTGTTAATATCTAAGATTTTCAATTCGTAAAACAATGGTGCTGAACGACTCATAAAATGGCTAAATGTGATTGTCCGTATGGCCATCTTCTGTGTATACAGTATGCAATTTAAGTGAGACTTGTAAGTGCTCCCCCACACTTCAATTCCGTATGATATATGAGGTTGAATAAAGGTTTTATACAACAACACTAGGATATTTCTAGGCACAAAATGCCGTAAGCGGAAGAGGATTCCTACTTTTTGTCTGATGCATTTATTAACCATTTGTATGTGGGGTTTCCAAGTCAAGTGTTTATCAATCTTTATCCCAACAAAGAGCGAAGAATCAACTTCTATTATTTCAGCTTCTGATATAGCCAGTTGCCCTTGAACATTAATCTGCCGTCTCTGGTTTCTTATTAGCATATAACTCGTCTTTTGTAAATTAATTGTCAGTTTATTAGCATTACACCAGTCTGAAACAATTTGAAGATTTGTGTTCACTTCAGTCATATCAATTTCTTTTTGCCCTTCAGGAAATGTATGGAATAAGTTTGAGTCATCCGCAAAGAGTCGAAAGTTAAAGTAACGTGTAGCAAATGGCATATCATTAATATAAAGTAGGAAAAGCGTTGGGCCTAGGACAGAGCCTTGCGGTACACCACATGTTAAAGGCAGCATGGGAGATGTTACATTTCCGTACTGTACAAATTGAAATCTTCTATAAAAATAGTCCTTAAACCACTGTAATGCTATTCCTCGTATTCCATAGTGTGAAAGTTTGCTGTATAAAATATCATGATTAATTGTATCAAATGCTTTCTTAAAGTCTACAAATATCCCAAGTGTGATTCTTCCCTCATCCATTGAATTCCTCAAAGTGTTAACTAAATTTATCATTGACAATTTTGTACTGTATTTTTTACGGAAGCCATACTGGTGCTCATATAATACATGATTTTTTTCAAGAAAGTCAAGAAGCCTATTATTTACAATTTTTTCAAAAACCTTCCCAAGAACAGGTAATACTGAAATAGGTCTATAATTTCCTGCTTCATCTTTAGGTCCTTTCTTATAAACAGGTGTCACTTTTGCTATTTTAAAGGCATCTGGGAATTTACCAGAGGTGAAAGACAGATTGAAAATAAATGTAAGGGGAGAAGTTACATAGTGCACAGCATCTTTTATCAGCTTGATTGGCATATTATCATACCCACTAGCTTTCTTTACATTCAAGGCTATTAAATGGTTGTTAACCTCAGTCTCAGTAACTGGTTTCCAGAAGAAAGATTTGTCTACACCATCGTCTAAAACTTTCTCTGTATTACGATTTGTGTTTGGTATGGCATTCGCCAAATTTGGACCAACATTAACAAAGAAGTCATTAAATGCATTTGCAATATCTTGTTCATTACACAGGGTTTCATTAGTACCAGTATCATTCACACACAATTTATCCACCACTGTTGGCTTAAACGAATTGTTTCCACCACTTAAAATCTGATGGCCAAGAACATGCTGCCTGCTCCAAAATGCATCATCATCCCATTTTGCCATTTAATAGTCCCAAATAGAAAAATAGATAATGTTTGCATTTTTGTTCAAATCATATGTGATGTGTATTTTTAACAATGAGTTATTCCTATTATTCTCTATCTTTATGAAAAAGAAAAAAATTATAATTGCAAATTACAATGGATTGGATGTGGCCCTTTTACTTGTCCTTGCATGGCCCTAGCTTGACTTCGTGCAGGGTACTTTGTGCCAAGTTATTTCTCTAAGAGTGGAATTGATGTGAGGAATATTGCCATTTTCAGTAGGGGCACTGGTCTGAGAATGAAGATTGTCCGCATAAACGAAAATATCCAGTTAAACGCGGACAAGTCTCGACCTAAAAAAATAAGGATTGTCTGCAATTTTCACGGACGTTTTTTCTTCTTCGGTGTTCTGCAGGTACAGGGTTCCTGATCCGCATGCTGGCAATTAATGCGAAAAACGGATTCCGCGTAATAAAATACCTCCAGTTCACCGTCTATACTTTCTATGGGTTGTCCGTCTTCCCTAGGATTTTTTGTTCATGACGTGAAAGTCTCTGCGTAAGTGTAAAATGCATTATGGAGCATCATTGCAGAATCCGTTTTTCGCATCACCAACGCGCGGATCGGGAATCCGGATCCTTCACGAAAATGCGGATGATCCTTATTTTTCTGGATGCGAATGGTCTGCATTTACGAGGGTATTGTCGTTTATGCGGACGATGCTTATTCTCGTACTAGCACCCCTACTGATTTTGTGAATAAACCATTTTTTTTTCTTCGTGTAGGCCTATATAATCTACAGACATAACATGTGCAAGCATTGCGCACAATGAACCGTTAGGCTTTACTGTGCAGAGTCCTTGAATGAGTGGTGGAATATTTCACAAGCATGCCAAGAATGTGTAGACAATATACTAGTCATTTTGACTTTATAATAATTATTTTAAATGAAATACCTACATAGTACATTGGCTATAGCGCCAAACATGCCAAATGAGGAGAGTGAGCAGCACAAATAGCCGCAGTTTCATCAAGGTTTGCCCAAAATTTCTTAGAATTTTCTGTTGATCTAGATAGAGTCTATCATAAAGTCTATCGATGCGCAAACCCCAGTGAAACAAAGTGCAATGGAATAAAATCAAGGGGCAGTTTCTTCAGTTTTTCAACGCGATTTTGAGCTGTGAGTGTGAATCATGAAATTAAATAAGAGAACTGATTTTTTTAGGTTATTTAAACTGCAGTATGATTTTGAAGCATCATAATGATTCATATTCAATATTCAATTGAACAATAATTTACATGTTCTCCTATTTATAATTTAGTGGGCCTAGATCTAGATCTAGATCTAGGCTACCGGTATTCGTTTTGTAGACCTAACTGTTAGATCTACATGCAAGCCAGTGTGTGGAAAAGTAATTTGTTAGTTTAACTAGTAAAATCCAATGAGTTTCATGAGGTTGATACCGGTTAATTAATGGCTAGACCTTATGCATTGAAATTATAGGAGTGTGAAGTGGAATTTGGTATGCTCAAGTTGGATGAATTTTGATTGTACAACACTTTTTCGTAGAAAAATTGCCAACACACACACACACACAATTAACGATGGAATCACACACAGAAAAGTTTATATTTGGGACTATTCATGAAATACAAAGGCAAATGTTTTTCAAACAATATCAGACTAGGCCTAACGTTAGTCCTTATCGATTATTCCTCTAAGATGAATATCTATAGACATATTTAAAACTTACGGTATACATTGTAGATATTTTTGGAGTGAAGACAAGGAACCACCAGCAGCATAGGCAAGGCTAAAAAGCTGCGCCGACCAGCTGAAACTGTAGCTGATGCTATCTGCAGGTACGGTATCTAGCTAGGCGCTCTGGCGGGTCTAGCGGCGGCGCTGGCGGTCGACGCCAGTCCTGGGCGTACTGCAGAGAGCTAGCCCTGCCGGATCGCGTCGAGCTAGCTAGCCTTGCCAGGGCCGGACCCATGGGGAGCGTTGGGGTGCATGCCCCCTTTTCCTTCCGAAAAAACAGGGAAAAGCCCAGAATTTTCAAATAAATGTTCAGTTTACGCATTCAGAAATGCCTCAGAATGTACCATAAAGCATCTTATAGTTCAATTTTTTTCCGGGGCCCTTTGGCCCCGTGTCCCATGCCGATATAACACTTCATGCCCCTCCTTAAAAAAAAAAAACTCTTGGATCCGCCGCTACAGCCGGTCGAGCATGCAGGATGTATATGGCATAGGCTGCCTAATGGTACGCACGCGTATTCCGCACAAGCCTTCCACAGTAAGTTACTGTTACAGAATATAATCCAGAGGCAGTGATCTACAGTAGCTGAGTAGCGCGCGCGCGCTGGACGACTAGTTTTACAGTATCTTACTGGGTCATCAGTATAATCCAGGAGACAATATAGTTCCAGTACATAACTATTGCAACTATGTCACCTGGGTTACAGAATATATATTCTGCTCTGATATATACTGAGCGACTTTGGGTCACCTGCTTCGATACCTTACTGGCTCGATTATTGGTATCAGGTGGTCATGGCATTTCGAGTGACCAAACATTTGCTCCTGCAACGACTGCTCAAGGCTTTATTTGTCAAATGTGTAGGGTTAGGCCGAGGGTTGCAATTGTGATTGAGGTTAGGTGTAGGGTAAGGTCTAGTGTTGGATCCCGGAATGAAGTTAAGTATTTGGATAATAATGTAGGAAATTGATGTTGAGCAAATGTCTTGAGGAACAAGTGTCGTACAATCAGATTTTCCAGGTGCTGGTGGAGCTGTATGTATTGATACTCATCATTGGCAGTGTAAAAATCTTCCTTTGTATTAGTAAACTAAAAATACGCTGACCCCCAGTTTGTGAAACGTGTATCTGATTTTTACGATAGTAATACATGTATGTACAGTGCCATGAGCGTCAGAGCCTGGCGGATACCGGCGCTATATAAATATCCATATTATTATTATTATTATTATTATTATTATTATTATTATTATTATTGTTTAGTGGTTATGTTGTAACACAAAATGAATTCTTAATCTTAATCCTGGATCCATAGCTAAACGTAATATTAACCCTAAAGCTAATCTAAAACCCTATCACAACTTGAGCAATAACCATATATCTTGATGAAATAAAGCTTGTGTTAAGCATTGGCAGACCCAAAGTCAGGTTATCCTAAATTCCTTTCTACATACTGCTATTGTACAAAGTTGATATTTAAGTACATCCCATTGCAAGTTCTAAAATTTCTGTAAAAACCTTACCCTGCTGCAAGATGATAGTGTGTGAAGTAAAATGGCTCATAGTGGAGCATGAATTATTACCTGCAATTCTCAAGCAATACACCCTTGCCACCTGCAATCCATCTCACTGTCATAATATATTCTTTAAACAACATTAACTGAAGTTCAAAATTTTGATTAGTGATTAAAAAAGGCTACAAAGAATTGTATTCTTTTTCACACTCGTATAATAGAGGGGGAGGGGGGGGGGGCAGCCTAGTAGTACAAGATCAAATTATCTTATATGATTATATCCAGCTAGTGTGATAAAGAAAAATATGTTTGTGTACTAAAAGTGAAACAAAAACAAATCACTGGAAACTTTTGGTTGTTAATAACTCAAAAGTTACACTCAAATTAAAACGAGGTTTTCAAAGCTTAAAGTTTAAGGATGTAAATTCTATGCCATTTCTATGAATGCTAATTGCTATTCTTAAAGCCCCACTTTCCTACTTGCTCTCTCTATATAGAAAACTTCCCCAATCGGTGTCTGTTGGTCCCCCATGATCCTCTCTTTCTTATGTTAGTTGAGAGCTGAGTTGATGAGATAGCCACCTGTCAGTGACCTGGCTGGGTGGTCTAATCCCTTCTGGCCCAGTAGTATTGACGGTCTTTAAAACAATGGTCGGAATGTTTGATTAGATCTTTTACTCAGACATGTAGTATATTAGTAATAAAATACATGTTTGGCAATATGGTATTTCATTTCAGACCATAATGAGAAGTAATATTTTAATCTGGGATCTCTCGTTGGCACGGAAAATAAGGAATGTACTCCTGTTGAGCAAACAGTGAATTTATATAAAACTAATAGCCCTTTGAAGATTACTAGAAGAAGAAAAACAACAAGAAAGAAGAAAAAGAAATATACTTGTGATGTCAGCTTTAGATCTTAAAGTGCTTGTAACAATATTGATTTTTTCTTTTCTTCTTTCAATTAACATTTTATTCATGAACAGCTGGCTTATTGGAATTGGTTACAAAGATACAAGTGGACTTGTCTGTAGTAGTTGCTGAAGAGGAGCAGTCCAAAACAACGTGGGAACTTCTTCCAAGTTCATCTCAAATCACAAGGCTTTTCAGGAATCAAGATGTAACAATGGAGGTTGAGAAGGAGTTTGCGACCCTCCTGATTTGGACTACTCGCTCTTTACATTCTCAAACAATGGATTGTAGCACTTCTGCACAAAACTCAACAAGTCATGATTGAGGAAAACGCGACAAATACTCAGTTGAGCATTGATTTATGTGACTGGTATTAGGGTAGGTTTCAGCTTGGTATATAAACTATGTCCCAAAAGAATCTCATTGGTCCTTATGGTTCCACGCCACAAGCTGCTCCCTCCCCTGTTTCGGTATACCGAACCCAGACTATCAAGGGATCAAATGAATGAAAATCCACACTTGATTACAAATGAATTGATCTTTTGAATATTGTCATCATTTCAGGGTGGTTTTGGTTACGGGTTAGTGTGAGTTTTATGTGCGTAAAATTGAGGGTACTTCGTGCGGAGATCGGTGAATGGATATTTCATGTACAATGCAAGAGAGGTGTCTATCTTCATTGGAATTCAGGATGTGAGTTCCAATGAAGATGGCTTGTTTATAAGGAGAGAAGCAAGATAGATTGATGTAAACTTAATGACATCAGGGAATGTTTGCCTGTATTGTTTGTATGACACGGATATTGAATAACATGAAGTTTAGTGGAAAGAATGGCATAATATATTTGATTTGTACACCATCCTATTGATTTTTTTTTAAATAGCATTATATGATAACAAGTGGCATATACAATAAGATCATTTACCGCAGCTCAAGGAATACCGTAGATATCACTTACCGCAGTTGCTGCTATTTGTGCCCACATGCATATTAATATCAAACAGTTGAAGCTAAAACTAATATAATCTAATTAACAGGGTTTTTTTCTCCAATTATCATAACAAGAGAGAAAAACATACTTTTATAATAACTTCCATTATTTCTTTATTTGATCCACGAGACCGAGTAGTCCAGCCCTTGTGAATCTGTATGTTCTCCAGATTTCATTGCCAGGGCCTATCGGGGGGGGGGGGGGGGGCGGATCTAGCTTTTTGCTAAGGGGGGGGGGGTTGTCCCTATGACGATGCAGAGCATCGCCCACGAGCCGCATAGCGGCGAGGCGATTAACGCATTTATAAGATGGATTTTTTTTATTTGTTTTCTCTCTCTCTCTCGCTGTCTCACTGCATTATAAATTTTTCATTTTCACGACATCAACATCTCTCACCATTAAACAGTTCTCTCATTTCCTTTCTTTTCTCTTTTGCTCTCTCTCTCTCTCTCTCTCAACTCTCACGTTCTGTTTCCAGATTTGTTCCACATATGATTCTATTTATCAACCATATATGCACACTAAAAAGAAAATATATGAAGGGAATACTGTATATAAGATAATAAACATGTTTAATTTATTCATTTTATTACAACAAACTAATATGTTTACAGATTATAACATTGATGGTCAAATATTAAGCACAAATGACCTCATCTGCTACTTCCATTTGTAGATTACTTTTTTCTTTAAAAATTCAACAAAGCATACTTAGGCTAAATCTGAGCACTATTTTTTTCTCCAGGGAATGTATTGTATCATGACCTGCACCCTTATTATAAAACACATTATAAAAACATGCTGATTTCTTAAAAAAAAAAAAAAAAAACCTATGACTCAATGATTGCAATTTTTTCCAGAGAAACAATAATACTGTACAATAGTATATAACATCCATTAGTGTGATGGTTACTCCGTGGTCCACACACGCACCAAAGTATATCAGACCTTTTATTAACAGTTGCTTGTTTTATACAATATATAAATCATACTCATAGGCCCATTCCCAAATGTTATAATTATTATCAATCAACAGAAATTGATAAAAGATGACCCCTCCCCAAAACTCTTATATTCCAAAAGTTTGATCTTGGCTGACAGGTGGTAACTTGAGTACTTGACTACACCTTATTTGCCCTATAGACACATACTTAAAATGGATGCCTTGGCAAAGCCTCAGTTTCATAAATGATTGCTTGACTTAGACTGCCGATGAACATATTTCTTGTGTATTTATCTACACCATTAACTTTTCTCCACATCGTGCTGTCAGATTGAGATGGTTTGGTGTGATATACTTAATGTTTTACATCATGTTTTTAATGAACTCCTACCTTGCTTAGTTATGCAGACATTGGGCTCTTTTTTAAAACTTGCGATAGCAGTGGAAAGGATGTGCATAAAAGAAGAGGCGGGATATCCATACTACTATCATGTACTACTACAACATGGGTAAAATTGCATCATTGTATTATACCTTGGTTCCTGGTTATCTCTCCTTGGTAGTTTGAAAACTATGTTTCAGTACCGGTAATCATTGTAATAGTGTTTCTGTTTCATGGTGTCACTGGTGTGGTTGTGCGTATGATGGCCAAATTTTCTATTTTCCTGCTTCGCCTGTCCACAATCACTAAACAATTTGAGCTGAAATACAGGGCCTAATATACAAGGTGATTAAAAAATTAAACATACTGCTTGCAAGGTGAAGTTACACGTACTGCTTGAAGAGAATTGTGAATGATATTTATCTATTGGGAGTTTGACCAAATCCAGGTTAAAAAATGTCAGCTTCGGAGGGGGCACATTACCCCTCAACCCCCCCCCCCCCCCGTGCGCGCTTTTGACTGATGTGTCCCCCCAGGAGTGGCGGAGCGTCTTCCAAAGTGGGGGGGGGGGCACAAACAAAATAGGCACTTTCTGGAAAAAAAGGGAATCTCAAAGCGAAAATATCCATTTTTTAGACAATGGTATATACCCCTTCATTGTGATTACATTATCAGGGACGATTTCAACATTTGTTTCTCTTTATACACCATACAAGATATTGCTTAAGTATCAGTTTGGTGTGATGGTATGAAAATTGATTTGCGAGTGAGGAAAATTTTAAGTTTTGTGAGGTCGCACTACAAAAAATTGCATCTTATTAAGAGGGAAAAACCCAATCCTGATGGGGTTATAAGTACATTCTCACAATGGAAGACTGAAAAGACCTTTAATAAGTAACGTAATTATATCATCTATAAATGCGAGCGAGCTTTGGGGAAGTTACTCTTAGTCGCTTTAAATTAGGGGCGCGTTTAATGATGAGAGGAAAAGGGGACACTAAAGGGATAAGGGGAAAAGGAGCATGTGTCATGTAAAAAGGGTAATTATCAGAGGTGAAAATGGGGCACTTCTTAGACCTACAGAAAGAGGCACTCACCAGGAATGAAAAAAAGGCACTTATGAGAATGGGAATTCTCACGTGATTGGGAAGGTTCCATGACACATGCTCCGCCGACGATTGCTCCGCCGACATTTACTCCGCAAAACGCGACAATTGCACCGCGACATTTGCTCCGCGACATTTGCTCCGACGTCAAATGCTCCGCCGACAGGTGCTCCGCCGACAGTTGCTCCGCCGACAATTGCTCCGCCGACAGATGCTCCGCCGACAATTGCTCCTTCGACAATTGCTCCTTCGACAATTGCTCCGCCGTCAATTGCTCCGCAAAACGCGACAATTGCTCCGCCGACATTTGCTCCGCCGACATTTGCTCCGCCTGAAGCGACACTTGCTCCGCCGACATTTGCTCCGCCGACATTTGCTCCGCCGACATTTGCTCCGCCGTCAATTGCTCCGACGACATTTGCTCCGCCGACAATTGCTCCGCCGACAATTGCTCCGCCTGAAGCAACAATTGCTCCGGTGACATTTGCTCCGCCGACAATTGCTCCGACGACATTTGCTCCGCATGAAGCGACACTTGCTCCGGTGACATTTGCTCCGACGACATTTGCTCCGCCCAAAAAGTGTCCCATTAAATACAAATGCTACTAGTACTACGACAAATGCTTCACCGACAATATTTTTTTTTTCACGGTTTGTTTTTGTTTGTTTCTTTTTTCTTCATTTTCTGAATGCATTTCATGAAATTATGTAAATGAAATGAAATGAATGAATGTTGATAATGTGGGAGGAAAAAGCAGTTGCCTAAAAGTCATTTTGAATATACTGAAATAACTTTCCATCTATCACTGTACGTCCCACATAATGTACACTAAACACTCATTACATGTCATGGGAAGTTTTTTTTTTTTTTTTTAAGTAGAGCAGCAAGCCACATTCCCCAATACGCGCATACCTCCTAGTTAATTTCAAACAGCTCATCAATATGTAAGACCTGAAATTACCTCAATGAAAGAAGACTAATAACATGAGAGGAAAGAAAAGAGCAAAAAAGACAACCGTTTTTTGCTATTCCCCATAATGTTTGATTTAAAAAAATAAAAAATAAAATTATAGCTCCTTACGCAAGTTCTCCGGCGAAAGATAATTACTCCGCTCAAAATCTGTTTCATGCATTACTCATTAGCTGATCCAAAGCTCAAGGCTATCTCTCTCTCTCTCTCTCTCTTTCTCTCTCTCCCATGCTCCTCCTTTTCCTGTTTACACCGTTTTCTTGTCTTCTTTGCTCTTTTCTTTCCTCTCATGCTATTAGTCTTCTTTCATTTCCATCACTTCTTCTCTGCTCCCCCTCTCGAGTTCTATTTCTCTCGTGAAATTGAAACGTAAAGTAATACAATCATGTAGTACATTCTTGTTTAGAATAATATCCAGTCCATTTTCTAAAGGTTTCTTTCCTTTAGTTAAGTGTATGTAGCTTTAATATATATATGTTAGTGTGCAAAACACTCCGTTTCATTCGAGTACTTTGTTTTCACTAAATAATTTAAGGGACTCACGAAGCAACCGGAAGAAGAGCAATTGGCTTATCATGAAGAACTAACATCAAACTGCAACAAAATGATTTGTATAAATGTGAATAAGCAGAAAGGCTGCCATCTCATTTTCCCGTCTGAATGGGTTCTCTTCCTTACGTATATAAGTGCCCTTATTTTCTAAACTTTTTTTTTTTAATATTTGTGTGTTTATTAAATTTTCAATCATAT